CTAGTAGCTTCTTGTTCCTAGTAGTAAGGCCAGGAGCGCCCCGTTCGTAGCGAACATTGCTAGCAGCGTAGCGAACATTGCCAGCCCCCCAAACACGACCTGTCTGGGACCGATCGGTCGGGATTTCAGAGGTCAATGAATGTGATCAATGAAAGTGGGACCTGTTTACGTAGGGTAGGGTAGCCTAGCCAGGACACCCATTGGATGATCCTGGTATATATATATATCATATATGGAGAGTCTGGGATATAGATCTCATCATGCGTTCCATTCAACAAACATTTTGCCAGATTGTCTCATGGTTGATCTGCTGGATGCACTCGATGCTGGATGCAAACACATCTGATGTTGGAGGAGCACTAGAGTCACTATATATCCAAACCGTCGAACATTGTGTCCCACGCCCCGGCTCCGAGAAAAGGCCGCATGCTGACATCAGCAACCTTCGAAATGTAGCCCTGTGACGCAGCCCAGGCTGGCGAGTCAAAGCAGAAACTCAAACTGAGATTGAAGTCCATTGAAGTCCAGTGTGGGTTTTGTCGCCCGATGCCCTGCGCCCTGGTGGACCTGGGAGTGCTTGGGCATCGCACTCCAAACCCCTTGGGCCCCTTGGCTCGTGAGCCACCCGGCGGATCCAGTCCCCAGGTATGGACCGGATTCTCGTGCCAAGTCAGGTCCGGAGAGGGCAGGCCAATGAATGGCAGCCTCAAGTCTTACAGGGTTTGGACCGTACAAACCAGATGCTTTTTGCTTCTTTGACAGACTCAGTAGAGTTGTGTTCTTTTCAACTTGCCATCAGCACTAAGCAACACAAAAACAGCTCAGAAAAAGGAACACACACACACACCACAGAAAACAACAGAAAAAACCACTCCACATCGTTCCACCAACGGCCTCCTCCGCTTCGTTCTCTTCACCTCCGACCGTTTCACGAGTGGCACGCGCCGCTTCTCTTCGATGCGTTCTCTCCGGGCGCTCCCGGCAGTGTGTCGGCTCGGCTGGGCAGTGGGCCTCGCGTGTCCTTGGGCGGGGAGGGAGGCGCTGCAGCTGGTGGAACGAAGGTTCACCTGATTCTTTGGTTTTGGTCATGACTTAGGACCTGCACATCCCTGAAAGCAGTTGATTTTTTTGGGAAGTCGGAAGGAGTGAATATATATATATGGGCTGCGTCCTACTTTGAAGTGGCAGAGTTTTGAGAACATCACAGGGTTCTTCCTTCCAATGTTTGTTGGAGAACGGAGAAGAATCCCAAACACAGAGGCTCCAGTCAATGATGGGGTCATGATCTTGTGCTCTCTGTTTGGCGGGCTTCTAAAACATTCTATAGAACATAGAAGCATCATGAAACATCATGACATGTGTGTGTTGGCACTCCCGGGTGACTTTCCTCTGAAGACCTGATATCATAAGAATATTTGGGGTAGATCCTATTCCTTGTAACAGTGGATGATGATGGTTAGCAAAGGCCTTTCTCTAAAACATTGATAATTGTTTACTGACTGTTACAGGTAAGTTCGGACACCCCAAAGAATTTTGTTTCTAATATGTATCACTATGCTCCTGTATCTACGGAACTGAACGTCGACTTAGCCTAAAAAAGTGAGGCACACGGCGCTCTGGGGAAGCCCCGCTGTGTGCCAAGGCCGCAGCTGCTGCTGCAAGTGCTCCAAGGCTGCACCTGTTCCGGATCATCTGGCTGAAAAGGCCCTAGTAGCGATGCCCTTTGCTCCGTTCGTAGCGTCCTTGTTCCTAGTAGTAAGGCCAGGAGCGCCTAGTAGCGTCCTTGGTACTTACACTTCATCTGATTTATCTGGCAACAATCCATGGACATGAACAGCGTATATACCTGAGACGAACAAATAGACCTGAGAAGTCACCCCTGGTTTTGATCCTCTTCCGAAGACCAACCCATTGGTTTTTGTGGGTTCCATGTGGTCGTCTTGAGCAGTTCGTCACAAGGGAAGCGACGGACATCGTCACTCCCTTGGCAACGCTGCCCTCGGGCGCCCGCACGGGCGGATTCGGATGGATTACTCTCGACCCTTCACACTTCGTCCCGATTTGATGGTAGGTGTGAGAGTTTGCTGATACCACCCACCATGTTTGGCTGATCCGAATCACGACCCATGTTTTACGGTTCAGAGGAATGATTTGCGGCACTACAGAGCGTAACCAACTACATAGTACATTCATATGATCAAGTGGAAGTTTGATGTGCCACAACAGATCAAGTTCAGGATTTGCCTCTGCGACAAATCGGACGAGCGCAAGACAACCAGAAAGTGAACAGTAAAGTTTGACTTGTGCGAAAATACACCGACATAAGCTGTAGCCCAAACAAGAGCGACCCACAACACACACACACACACCATATCCAACAATCATGAACGCGGCATGATTTTCTGAAACACCTTTTGCAACTTCTATAATTGTTGGCATAATCATCACCCACCGACCACTAGCAAACTGCCTCTCCCGAACAACGCCGTGAATGTGAATCCATCAGACATGTATGATGTCCCAAACGCTCCATGGGCCTGCCACATATGCCGATGAATCAATTGGGTCAATGGATCGGCAGTCCTATAGCAGTCCCATGGAGTCGACTGGGTGTGAGCATTCGCATGCGAGGGCATCGCTTGTAGTAGGGCCAAGGGCGCCCTCGGGCCCTCGCTGTGGATGCCATGACCCCGACTCCCCTGGGATGCCCATGAAATCCGAAGACCACCAAGGTGGTGGTGCCATCCATGGTGGTCCCCATGGAACTCTTTTCGTCCGAAGGTGAGATTGGCATATATGCATCCATCCTGGTCCATCCTGTTCTTCCAGCGCGTTTTGCTGGACTTCTCGCCAGGCGACACCGGTCCATGTCTGGTCCTGGTCCACTCACCATGTTCCGACTCTAGGACCGGTCCAAAAACCCCTTCGCCGACGGTGCCATGACCGCCAGTGTCTTTGGTGCTCCGTTTTTTCTCGCTGCGGCGTGGCTCAACGGAGGACGGGCTCGAACCCGTGCTTGGCGCAACGCGTGACGTTTCCGCACCCGGTTGACCCAGGTTGACCCCATGTGGACCCTGAAGATGGATAGAGATTTTTTCCTGGTTTCGGGAGACCAACCCGAGGTGCCACGACACAATGCCGGTGCACACGGACACTGGGAGAGGTCAAGAGAGGTCAAGGGCACTGAACAGTGATGATCCAATGGCATGGTGCTGATGGCATGACCAACAGCAAGCAGATCCAGCCGCCCAATCACCGGTATTGAAAAACCCTGTGGGTCCCACCATCTTCCAGTGAACCTCCCAAAAAGATGATAGAGGACATCCATCCGCTTCCGGAGGTCCATCGTGTGCTTCAGAAGCATCCCCAGACACGACCCGTCTGGGATTGCCGGCATTTGCCGGCCCATTGACCTTCAGTCAACCACCCCAATTGATCGGCATCTATGGCAATCCCAAACGGGTCGTGTCCAAACGGTGCGAAGAAGCCACGATGGACCTCTTTCCCCCCGACACGCGCGGGCGACCCCCGCACGGTTCGCACGTAGTCGCCTGCCATTCACATTGACTGTAGTCGCTGCACGACTCATCTGAGCAGATCAGATCGGCGGCGGTCAAACGGAAAAGAACCCAAACACTGCATGGGACTGCCATAGATGCCGACCCATTGACCCCGCAAACTACCCCAATGTAGGCAAATGTGGCATGTACATGGAGTATCTGGGGAATGAACTGGGTTGACACGTTTTTTTAAACCCAACCTAGCCTACCCCTTGGGGTTTCTGTGCCAATGCCAACTACACATGCCTCAGCCATGGTGGCCGGCCGCACACGGTCAGCGGCGGTTGGGAACCCTGGAATTTCAATGTCCAATCCTCCGAACAAAAGCCCAAAAGCATCCGCATGATGGAGACCACGATGTCGTTTGTTGATTGTGGTCTGCTCCTTGTTCATGTCAGTTCAATACAAAGTTGTGAAGACTTCGGGTAGCCTGCCCCACCTGTGAACATTGAAGGGCCTTCAGCCAGAACACCTCAAGCACATGCAGGGTGTATGCAGCAGGGAAAATCAACATCAGAAACTACCTGGGGTTGACTCACAGCCGTTTGTCCTCTGCCCAGCTTTTCTTTGACCTACGACCTAGACCCAAAATGACGACGTCGTCCAACATCGTGAGAAAAGAGATTGGAGGTTAATAGAATGAGGGCATCATTGATCCAGCCACCCCATCCCTTCTAGAGGACATCTGTTCATTTTCCACCTAGGTCGTCCAGTGCCTGGATGCCATGACCCACAACCCGTATCACTTCCCTTTGATCAAGTGGACTGGAGGATCCGGTCGGAGAAACGGGCAAGCCAAACCGCTCGGAAAAACAGGATGGAAAAAACGGCCTTGAAACCTGGACCCCGACCAAGCAGTTCCGACGTCAAGCAGTTCTGAACCGATCCCTAAGGAGGCAGCGATGCTGCCGCCAGCCTCCGCCCATCCCGGTCACTCAAGCGGCGTCATGGCGCCCGCCATCTGGATGGGCTCCCCGGCTGGCGACGGGCGGCGCGTCGGCACAGTCCCAGCTCTGGGGTGAAGAACAGGCCACGCTGCGAGACCTACGTGGTGACAGGACAAGCCTTCTGCGAGAGGAGTTCGAGAGAACGGAGAGAACGGAGAAACACATTTGTTGGGTGTTGGCGCGTTTCGGAGGGAATCAAATTACACCTGGGCTTGAAGTGTGATATTTGTTGGAAACAAACCTGAAGTTCTTGCTGCATCATCTGGAAGATGGCAGTGGTCAGCGTGGTGGCAGACCCAAAGACAGCAAAACACATGGGAACTATACTACATCGATTGATCTTGGCCCCACGTCCCTCATCTAAATAGGGAGACCTCCCAGCTCAACCTCCCGGAAGAATGGAAAAGGACGGTTCACCTCAAACTTTCCGCCAAATTCATGTTGAGTGGAGTGTCCCTCCCCAAGTCCTCCTTTCACCCCCCAAAAATACCTTTTTCAAGGTGATTCCACGTACTCCCCGAGGTCCACCGCCCACCCATGCCGTTCGACCCACACGTTCGTCGTTCGACGCCGTCGCTGAGCAAGCCGCCGTTCGACCGCAAGCGACGCGCCAGCGGCCTCGCTCCCAGACCGCACTGATTGGAACACAACGACCAATCTCCAGTGACCTCAAGCGCGCCCCAAAGGCTCAAGGTGATTGTGCGCGTGGAACGGCGACTGGAACGGCGACTTGCCCAACGGCGGAGAGAAGGAGTCCGAACACACCATCTCCCAAAAAGTACGCGATATTATCTGTTTCTTTGCCCTTTTGTGGAAGGCTTTCCCGACCCACTCTTGTGGGACACTCACGAACTCAGATGTAACTTGGCCAGAAAAGTTGACAGTTCTGAGGTCACAGCTCCCAGAAACTGCTTCCCGTATTGCATTTGCTGCCAGTTCTACAGCTCCCAGAAGCTGCTTGCCGCACTGCATTGGTACTACCAGGTGGCCAAGTGGACAGTTCTGAGGCCAGAAGCCGCTTCCAGTACTACATTTGTACTACCAAGTGGGCAGTTCTGAGGCCACAGTTCCCACAACCTGCTTCCTGCATTACATGTGTACTACGTACAAGTTGCCAGTGACACTCAAACAAATTGCGGTTCCAATCGTCGAGATCGGTCCTGATTGAATCGTTTGTCCTCGCTCCTCGTCCCAGGCTTTCGAGTGGGACACTCTTGTAGGACACTTTTGTCGGACACTTTTGTAGGACGCTCTTATGGAACAGTCTTGTGGGGCACTCTTGTCCGACACTCTTGTGGGACACCCTTGTAGGACTCTGTAGGACGCTCTTGTGGGATACACTTGTGGGGCACTACAAATCTTCCAAGTCCACCGTCACGTCTCCAAAACTGGCTCCGCACGAGACTTCCTCCAAAAGTCAGACTTCAAGTCTGCAAAACGAGCATTTCGTACGAGACATCTTCCAAAATGCACGCGTCAAGTCTACGAGACTTCCTCAAAAATTACCACTTCAAGTCTGCAACCAGACTTCCTCCAAAAGTCAAGCGGGAAGCCCCATCGGAGAACACACACATCAGCCCTGCCAAGCAGTTTCGAGATTCCAGCCCCTCCAAACAACACCCGCCCACACGCCAATCCCAATGTCACAGCGACTTTCACCTTTACCGCAACTCGCAACCTCACGATTCCCTGCGCCTGCCACGAAAATTTGCGCGTCCACACCTCCAACACGCACACAGTACATGCGCCTGCCACGAAATATGACCATCGCCACACCTTGCAACCTCATGATTCCCTGCCACGGAAATTGCACTTCCACGGCTCAAAGCCCGCGCAAAATATTGCGCCTACCACGACATGTGACAATATCATATCTGACCATATCTTCGTAGATTCAGCAAAAGATGCAAAAGTTGCACCGCACCACGCGTTTGGACTGATTTTGACACGTTCTGAGCACACCCCCGGCCACCAAAGTGGCAATTTTAGCTGATACTTGTCACGAAAACACAGCTTCGAAGCAACAGCCTGATATGCAAATCCAAATGTCACAGCCGCATCCAACAGCCCAACAACACAGCCCTCTAAACGCCAATCCCAATGTGACTGCGAAGAAAGCTGCCCATCTCACAAAACGCTGCGCCGGCTGCACCCTGCGCAGTGAATTCATCCTCCACACCCTCTCGCGGTTCCGCACGCTTGCTCGCTATTTCACACGAATCTGACACGTCATGCTTCCATCCAAAACCCTCTCCAAAAGCTTCGCCCAATGTCAGCGCCATAGCGCCCCACCCGCGAACGGTTGCGGACGGTTGCGGTCGCTACGACAACGAGTCGCGAACAAGGCTCGACTCCCAGATCCCGAAAGGTAAACGCGAACCCTTCGCTACGCATTCGGAAAAACAATGATCATAATCCAGAAGCCACAAAGGGGTGCCGAACTTGGAGGTTAGGGGTGCCCAGCTACTCCACTCACTTAGGGACCAAACACCACCCCTTTGTGACCCCTGGATAATACAAAAAGGAGAGGCATCGTTGGATATAAGTTGGACCCGCTTAAGAATGTACGGCTTCAAGGAGGTCGATCAATAGACTCGTCGATTGCAGGAATTTGGGAATATCGCTTGGACCCCCAATGTACAAATTCCAGGGGGTCGAAAAAAGGAGCTACATAAAGAAAATTGAAGAAATACAATACAATGCGATACAATCTAGAGTAGAGTGCAATTCAACCGCATACGATACAGTACAATAGCATTGGCTAAAATACGATACACGGCAAAGGATACAGTACGTACAATAGCTTGTACCACAATGTGATACAATCAACAAATGACAAATTGCAGGCATTCTTGCATATAATAAGTTGGTCCCCCTCAAAAAATGCTAAACATTCCAAGGTTATTAAGGGGTCGGAATCCTATGCTTGTGAAATTGTATCATCGCATGTATATGCAGTTCTTTTGGCTCTTGCTATACTTGGGTCCCTTACCACTGAATTCTCTGATTTCTGGCACTACGTGAAGATGTTCGAGAACCCAAAGGATGAATATAGGTCATGCCCATGCTGTCTCTCAAAACCCATGGTTTTTTGCTGTTGATGGCCGCGAAGCGAACGCCTTTCAGATCAAGAAGCCAAAGAAAAGACACATGATGTGACACATACGAGGACCATGTGCATGCTTGGGGCGGCGCCCATCGCTCCCCCCTTGGTTGCCGGCAAAACACATGCCGCTCACCTCTTCTGCTCATATCATCTGCGTGTTTTGGACAGTGTGGTGCAGAAAGGAGACCACCACTTCATCACTGATAACTATCACACTGGTCTCCAGTGTTTTTGCACCACTGTTGCTCAGATCAGAAAGGCCAATGAAACACCGTGTGCGAGACGATGAAGAACGGCTTCAGCGCACGGCTTCAGCGCTTCAGCCCCCGGGGAACACCGGGCAGCAACCACACATTCACCCTGGTTGGCGTTCGACAGGGAACATGTACATCAACATACATCATCCGAAAACCGCCACAAAAAACGACACCACTGGAATACCACTCACCATGGAGTCACAAGACGGGGCGCCGAACTTGGAGGATAGGAGTGCCCAGCTACTCCACTCACGTAAGGGGACTCAAAACCACCCGTCTTGTGACCCCTGGCAGGTCTTTTTCAGTTCCTGTGGACTTGAAGGACACCGGGCAGCCTCCTTCGTTCGGGCCCCCGTGCCCAGGTGCATCCGATCGTGGCGCGACAAGGCTGCTCCTGCTCATCCGGAAGTGCGTCACAGGGTCGGCAGGTCTGGAGAACAGGTGAGGAAGACAGAACGAGGATGAACACTTCTTCTTCTTCTTCTTGGCCATTCTTTCCACATGTCGTTCGATTTTTTCAGGTCGTGGAAACACACATCAGTCACATGACTCGACCTAGCTCTCGACCCAGCAGCCCCAGTGGTCTTCGGTGACTGCCATGTGTTGGGCCTGGTGGTCTGAGTCTAGAGCTCCACAGGTCCCATCAAACAACTGGGCTTTCTCGACCCAAACAACCTGGTGACCTGTCTGTGAATACCTTTCTTTTTCATGGTGTTCTTTTATGGTCAACTGAGGGCCCCTGGTAAACTACCCCTCTTTTTCATGGTTTTGAGGGCCCCTGGGCTTCATGAGTCTTTCATGGTCCTTCTACCAATCTACACCGCCCATCCCGGGCCTCTATGGGCTTGGACATGGAGTGGCATCCGGAGCTATCGGGGCAGGTGACCTGGCCGACAGCGGATGAACAACTCAACCTGGTAACCAGGTCTGGTCGCCAGGAAACGATCACACACCAGCTTTCCACATGCAACAAGAATGGCCTGAGGGTCGGAGCCGCACTTCACCTTCCCACAGCTCAATAGATTGGCCAGTTGAAGGAAACATCTACAGGGGGTGCTCCGGTCTCGGTTTCCTGTAGATGTTCCCGTCAAACCCAACGTCCGGTTTTCGACCGAACCGACCCGACCAATGGAAATCGCCCCCCTTCATGGTATCTCCGAGGTGGCTGACACGACAAGGTGTTGCCGTCGCGAAGTGCCACACAAAAGTGTCACCAAAATCATCCAACGGAGGTGGGTCAGGACCCGAACGTTCGACTATGCCAGTTGGGTACCCCAGGTGATGGGTCCTAGTTCACTGGATACCTCTCTTGGATTGGCATGGGCTTGAGATGTGCGTTTCCAACAAGATTTGTTTGTACCCAAACGCTCCGTTCACAGCCCCTGGTCCCTCAAAACCTAGGAAGTACCTAGGAATTTGAGACCCCAGACCCCTCCATATGAGGGTCCATGAGCGTCTGGGTAGTAGATATACCTAGAATCTTGCCACCACCTGGTCCAATTCTGCTGCGCAAACACATCCAGCTCAAAGACAGCTGGCCTCTCCAAGTTTTGCTCCACCTGCACTCCCCAGTTGGTGTGTTTACCCAGGAACCCAGTTTTAACTTCTCTTCTCCACCTCATACCACAGCAAACCCTCCAACGTGGCTTCTCATCCACCTCGCTTCTCCCAAAGCCACCTCGCCCCCCCACACCAAGACCAGGCACTACCCTCAAAACGGATGCAGAAGCCCAAACATTAGAGGTCGTGGAGTACAGATGAAAACCATGCCTGGTGAGGGAAAAAACACATGCATCTTCAATGAATTCTAGACCCTCCAGCCCCCCACACGCACGTTGTTTTCGCCGCACCTCGCGGCGTTGGAGTCCGCCATCACCGCAGTCGCCCACGACACCAGTGCAGGGACCCCAAGAGCTCACCGACCAGATGGAGGCCTTGCGGTGCAGGAGCAGCGCGGGCCGAAGCGGCGTGCTTGGAAGGAAAAAAATGAAGAAATCAACCCAAAGTAAAGCTCTTACAGCAATTGGTAGGGGGATGGTCACAAGACTTGGTAGAGCTTTGAACCTATTCCAAGCATTCCATCGACACCACTTGAAAGCTAGCTGAGACTTCGAATTCCATCCATCCTCCCATGACGAACCCTTCTTTTTGCATGTAAATCAGGACGTGCAAATAAGAAAGAGTGCATTTGTATGCAACAAAACACATGCTTTCACAACAAGTCTCCCTGTTGATCCTGGGTGCCCCGGGCGCATGTGGGAGCCGTAGACCATTCGCCAGTGACGCCGCACACAAAGCCGCCTGGGAAGAGGCCCGTCCAAGTGCTTTGGGAGGAACAAGTGCATCGCCACCTAGTAACAAGGGCATTACTACTAGTAACTCATCGCTCTCTGCGGACGGTCTCTGTGAGACGGCGTCAGCATTGTACTAGACACCCTGGTCTATGTACAGAAATAAGCCAAAGGCAGACCCCACATGCAACACCATCCAACTAAGCCAGCGGGATATCCCAAGATGCCAACGTGCGGCCGGCACCGATGTGAAAAAGCTGACCAATCGCGACTCTCTCTTCATCTGTCACAAACGGTATGGCTCCCTGGATGGAGCCTTGTGGCAAGACACGGCCACAGCAACGTGGCTTTGATGTATGAAATTTTCCCGGGTGTGGATCAGCAGAGGGATCCGAGTTGAGGGATGACAATGCTTCCCGCACAAGCTTGTACACATCAAGGTAGGTAGCTTTCTCATGAGCAAAATGTAAGGAGAAACCCCTGGTATGCAGAAGGACTGCAAGTTCATTGAAGGAGTAGTCATGCTTGCTGTCAACCAACCATGTTGTGGATCGCAAAAAGGCGCAGCATGTGTCCCAATTCTGTGTGGTACTCGACCATTTCACCGGACAGGCCACCCCGTGGGGAATTTTCGGTTTCCATGGGAACATTGTCTCCTTTGTACCCCACAACCATTGTGGAAAACGCTTCCGGCAAGCCTGCAAGTCAGGCAGTTGAGGTGCCTCATCACCTTTGATTACAACAGCCCTGTCAGGTTGTTCTGTCGGGAGTAGGGCGTGCAGATCAACAAGCCATTGTTGATGGCCAGAAACCGCCCCTGCGACTTGCTGCTGAATGCTGGTATGAACCGGTGCAGTGGAAACTGCAAGGTCTCTTGCCGCCATGTCAACCAAACGATTGTGGTGAATATGTTCGTGGTGTTCTTCAACCGTGCAAGCTCTTCGGAAAGCAACTCAATTGGTATCTGTTCATAGCAGTGGGCGGGAATCCACTGTATGTGGAATGGTCTTTGAACAACCGACTGTCTGAGCTTGACAACGTGCGCCAATACTTCCAATGCTTTGCTGGCATCTCGCCCTGGAAGATGAGGGTGGCTTGCTCTACCACACTGGAACAGTCACAGTATATGCATGTGGTGAAGCATGCACGGGCGCACGTGACCAGGATCGCCCAAAGTTCTGCACAATAGGCTGACATGTTCCAGTGCTGTACCAAACCCTTGAATCGAATCTGACGGGTTTCATCGAGGACTGCATAGGCAGCATTCGTGATCCAGAAGGTGTTGGAGTGAATGACGGAACCGTCTGTCCACATCCTTTCATTGTGTTCCGCAGAGAAAGTGGAAGCAAGACCAATTGAGGAAATATCCGACATCTGCAATCTCTTTCTGACAATGCTGATTGGATGTTGGACGTGGCCAAGGACGGCAAAATTGCTGCCAAACTCATGTAGAACCGGTTTGCCCAAAATAGCATGGACTTTCGTACAGTGGATCAAATGAGGCATGCTTTCCTTTGCATTGTCACAGAAGCGGCAATTGGCATTCGTGACCCAGCCTGAGGACGCCAATCGGTCATTTGTGAGTGTACAGCCGACAAGAATGTTCTCAAGTCGAAAGAATCTTTCTTGATTACTGTGTTCTTTCCAGGATCTAGAGCGCAGAAGCAAAGTGGTTTGCTGAAAATCAAAGATCCCACTTGGCTTGGCAAAATCTTTTCTAGACTTGGGATTAATAGACCTATAACAAGCATTGCGAACAATGTTTTGCAACGCCTTCGTGATGCAGCTGGGTGAAAGCGAAAGAAGGGGAACAAAAGGCGAATTTGAAAAAGAAATACCCAAATGTTCATCAGTATCAATCCCCAACACATCAAAGGCAGCTCGGAGACTGTTCGCCAGGGAGTGGTTGCCTGTGCCATTCGTCCACGTACGAAGGAGCTTAGTGCATGCGTCGTTGTTGCACCAGCATAACCGCACTGTTTCAATGATCGTAAGATAGGCAGCAGCAAAGTACGGATCTGTGCGGTGCGGTTGTGAGAGGATGCACTGGAGCAGCTGCTTCGAACGCCACATGGGTTGTCCGGCCCACAATGCCCTAGCAACCGCATTCTGCATTGTACGCATGGCCTGCTGTGGAATCTTGGAAATGTGCGAACCAAAAGACACCTGCGGAATGATCTTGGCTCCAATCAAGAATGATCGCGTAGCTCTGCCAACAGGAAGAGCTGCAATATTATCGATATCGGCCAAGACTTTCTTGAGCTTCTTCTCTGAAAACTGGAAGTGTTGACGCTCAGAAGTGTAAACTTTCGTACCTAGGACATCCAATTCAAGGACAATGGGGAAACCTGAGAAAGCAGTTTTCAGCTGATTACGAGCCTTTGAGGAGGTGCCCCAAACAGAGGATTTCCCCTCATTGAGTTTCTGCCCGCTAAGGAGGTCCCAAATTTTTGTCACTTCGATAGCCTTCTGGAGAATTGCGACTTGCTGGAGTTTACACCACAGGTATGAATCATCGATATAGGCCCTGGCTAAAATTTCAGGGAGGTGGTCGAGCAGGTGACACCAGACTTTGTTGTATACATTGATAGCCAGAAGCGACATCGAGCAGCCCTGACACACACCGTTGGCTGCAGTTGTAGCAGTATCAGAGATCCAATTACGATATGATAGGTGTCTGTGCAACCCATCATACATTTTCACGAAAAAGGAAACAATGCCACTTGGAATGCCAAAAGCGAGAAAGAGGGCTGCAACAAATTTAGGAACAACTCTATCAAAGGCCTTAGCTTTGTCTAACTTGATTCCAATGAGAGTGTCCCCTTGGAGCGCGGCCTCATCAATGTCCAAACGCAGCTGGTTATAGAGGTCAGACATGAATCTACCTTTGATGCCTCCTAGAATCGACGGTGGCATCACCTCCTGTTGCCATGTTTGCAGTTGAGCAAATCTGGCACCGGTGTAGGCCAGGAGGACGGCCGGGAGGATTGTGATGAGTCTTTTATTGAGGGCCGTAGTGGGACCTGGCTTATTAAGTATCACCTGCTTTGCGCAAACAAGAGGCGTTGGCAGAGCAATGTCGGTCTCCTCTATCAGGGCAAAAAATTCAGCGCAGGGTTGTAGTTCTGCAGGTGTCAGGCGTTGGAGCTCAGTTGTGCGCCAACCATCGAGGCCCGGTGCAGCTGTGGGTTTTCGCTTCTGAATGATCTTATGTAGGTCAGTTCCCGTAATAGGCGCAACTTGAGCCTGGACCTGTTTATCTTGAATATACGGCCAGACCGTTTCAAGCATCTTAAGTGGGTGGTGTTGAAGCACATTAGCACTAAAAACTTGGTCCCACTCAGAATTAAGAAAGGTGAGGGCTGCATTCGGCTGATAAATGATGTTGTGATTTTGGTCGACGACAAGATTGGCAGGCTCTTCTTGCTGTTTGTTCTTAAGATGATGAAAAATATAGGCACATCCGTGCGTTGCCGAATGCCGGATTCTGTCTTTCCAGCGTTTGATTCTGGAAACCTTAAGGCGAAATTCGTGAGTCTTGATGTTTGGAGTAACCCACTGAATGGCAAAATGCACTTGCAGGAGAGTGGGCATCCTGTTCTTAACCCAAACAACTGGAGCAGACAAATCGACAAGTTGCTTCAAGGCTTTATCTGCTGTTCGCTGCGTGATGTACGCATCTTGAGCCGAGCCCTCACAGCGTGAGAGACGAATGAAGAGTTCATTGAGTCGGCCTAGCAAACGGGCAAGGAGGATGCCCTTCATGCTGGCAGCACAGTGGCCCTTCATCTGTTTGGGGGCAATCACCCTGGGCACAAAGGTGGGCGCTTTTCCCCTTTCACGAGGTCCATCCCCCCATGAAGCTCCCTTAGCTACAAGTGCAGCTGTGAGGAAGTCGTTGACAACTGCCCATTTATCATCGGGCGAACTCGCAGCATCAAACTGCTGTTTGTGGGAGAGTTCCCATGAGATTTCTGTGGGTGGATCAAGTGGTTCGGTGACACCATCAAACACTAGTGGGGCAGCTTTGAGGAGATGAAAACCAATCAAGTTGATAGAAGGCCAGTCAAATTCAAGCCTTATGGGTCGATGTTGTTTGCCGAAAATTTCGAGAACTTCGGCCTTTACCAACGCAGCAAAAGCAATGTCATTGACTAAAACTGAGTCGATGGAAGTACATCCCTCACCAATCCCCGAAAAGGAGCCATCGTTACTAAACGTAAGGGGGCGAACAGCCTCACCAAAGTCATCAATGACCGCAACAGGGTCGTGCCAAGATTGGAAGGAAATGGCAGTAGCAACGGCCGGGTAGGACATGGGTGGGGCTTGGAGGTCCCCAGCAACGACGATAGGGATTCGGCCGAATTGCGCAACGAAAGTGAAAATGTCATCGAACAACTCGTCATTCATGGCATGGATCTTGGGGTCTTGAGAAGCGCTAGTAGTGGCATACACTGACAAGACCAAAGCTCTTTTGCGAGGGATGACTTGAACCCATGCAGCCACTACTCTTTTGGTCTGATAAAGTTTGGCGTATAGCCCTGTCACGTCAAGAAGGGGGTCAAAGGGCAGAACGTAGGGCGAACCGCCGGCGATCAAAGTGCCCCCGGGGGGAGTCTTTGTAGATTTTGAACCACTCCACAGACCGGGCAAAAGTTCGCCAAAGCAAGGCGTGAAGCCAACCCCTTGGAAAGTTTTGGTTGCAGTACGAACATTATTCTTACCTACCCGGGTCTCTTGCAGGCAAACCACGTCGGCGTTCCAAGACTTCCAAGAAACATCAGTCATAACAGATCCCACGTTTGCTGACACCAAAGTCATGTTGGTGGGAGGAGGTCCCTCACCTGGATAACCGAGTGTGGAGTCAAAGAGAGTAATGAACCAAACATCACATGTGGTCCAAATGCGACAAAGGAGCCCAGATGAGCCGAATCGAAACGACCCTAACGGATTCAGTACAGCAAAGGATGTTTTCTTCGCCACAAAACTGCGAGGTTGGAAGGTCCAACC